ATGAACTCTCCGGGGCTTGTGTGCTCGGTGGCGATGAGAATGCGCAAGAACTCGGGGCTCCGGGCAGTTCCAACGGGAAAGTGTCAGGAACGAAAGGTGGGCGGTGGCGGAGAGGCGAGCGCGGCCCACGAACCCTCCCGCAGCTCCCCGGCCCCTGCCCGCAGGTGCCCTCCGCCCCGCTCACTTCTTCCTCATCCTCCCAGCTCCGCCGCGCCCCCTGGTCTGGATGAACCTGGCCGACATGAAGGCCTAATTGTACCTGAAATCACTCATTACTGTTCCTGGCGATGATTTCCGTCACTTTTGCAAAGCCAGGCCCAGGCGGAGAAAGGCCACGGGGGTTCGGGGTGGGGGGCACCTCCGGGCCTCGCGAAGAGCAGCGTGGCTGCTGTGAGCACAAAGCACCATCCTCTCCCCGGCTCGCCTCCCCAGCCCGGCTCAACTAGGTACACGTGCTGTCGCGTTCTTCTTAACGCCGGGACTGGATTCCAGTGCCTCCAAATTCGATGTTCTTGGGAAGTCCCGGTTCCAGAACTTTAATATTTGGAGGAGGGGCGGAGGAGACGGATCTCAGTAATAAAAGCGAATTTAGGGTACAGAGAAAATCCTGCGGTTGGCGTAGCGGAGCCTGTGGAAGGCACGAAGTAACCACCCCGGCTTGGGGCTGGAACCCACGCAGGTGGGGAGGCTGCCCACCCCTCTTGCGGCACATTTAGGGAGAGCAGCTGGCTCACGTTCCCTTTTAACTGGAGGTCCCTCCTGGGGCCTCCACCTTTCCTGCGGAGACCACCCTGGTGTTCCCTCTCCCCTCCTCCACCCCCGCACATTCCTCTAGGGATTCCGTTTGATTTGGGAGATTGGGAGGTTGACAGACGTGGGAAATGGTCAGCCTTGCATCCCTGGGCTGTGCTCTGGGATCTGCCCACCTGTCTGATGCCCGCCCGCCCCCTCCCCCAGGAGAAGGCTAAATCTGGGGCCTCTACTTTGCCCCTTGGCTGGTAAATCTAGGATGGTTTTTGAATGCGTTCAAGCAAATAGATCAGAGGGGGGAAGAAGCTGAGCCAGGCCCGAGAGCCTTCTCACTCTGGCCAGGGGCTTGGGGTTTGTCCTAGGCTCACTGAGCGTGGCCGAGGAACCCCTCTCCAGGCCATGTCCTCCGGAGGACCAGCTGCCCCACGTGGGTGGTTGGTCCCTCAGAGGCCTTGAGGCCTCCCCCAAGCTCGTTGCCTAATAGACCCAGGTGACCAGGTTTGTCAGCAATGCCTATTTGTAAAATCTTCCAAAAGAACATTTTACGAACTCGACACTGTAGTTTTGAGAGAAAGAGAGCTGGGAAGACAGGTCTTGGAGGAAGGTTTGAATCTTCAACTTTTCGGGAAAATGTTGCATGGCCTGTCCCCGTAGCAGCGTGCAGGTTTGCTGGTTCCCAGCTGCAGTGTGTTAGGGACACTGCCCCTCGAATTGCAGCAGCTTTGGCGGGGAAGGGAGCTCAACCCGGTCCTGCCGTGGCCCAGTTTTAAGGAAGACTGTGAGCGTGGGAGTTGGGGTGGGGGCTGCGGTTTCGGAGACCCATCGCTGGCCACCGGTGAGCCAGGAGATCCCAGTTCTGGTTTGGGGCCTCACCTTGGTGTGACCTTGAACAAGTCACCTGCTGCTGTGCAATTAGCTTGGCATCGTTAAAGCCATCTCAGGCCAGGCCTCCCAGCCCTAACCCCTGTGGTTTGCCTGTCCTTCTCTCCAGGATGCTACGGACCATATCCACGTGGGGACCGGTCGCACCGGAAGGGCCTCACCGCTCCAGGCCCGGCGCCGAGCAGCCACCTTGTGAGCTGGGCTGTAGCCACGGTCTTCTCCACCCTGACTCTGCACCCTGTCGATCCCCGAAAGGCCAGTGTGCACACTCATCGCAAACGCATCGTGTACCGAGTCACAGTTGGGCAGCCATCTGCCCCATGGGCCTAACAGATTCTATGGCCAGCTCTGCCCAGGCCACACTCAGGGGTGCCCAGCTCGCCTTCGGTGGCGTTGGCTTGGACTACGGGCTACTGACACCTCTGATATGGTGGAACAGACCGCTGAGCCCCAACGCTGATCTCTGCAGCGAGGTGGCTCTGAGCTTACAGCATACCCCACCCCCCAAAAGAACTCTGGCGCCCACCTTCAGCTGCTGTGACACGCAGCACTGCGGAGCTCAGGCGGGACTGAGACCCTTAACATCACTACCCAAGAGCCCCAGCCAGCCAAGCGGCCTTTACAAACCGTAGTAAACATTTTATTTACAAGTCTGTGGCGTCCGAAGTGCAGTCTTGGCGACCCCTAGGGCAGGAGGAGCTGCTGAGTCACTGGAGTCACCGCGTGAGCTCGGTGTGAGCTGCTTGTATCTGGGAGAAGCTTCCGTTGGCGGCCGCTGCGGCTCCCCTGGGCTCTGTGCGGTGTGGGCTGCACCTGGCGGCCGGCGAGGGGGCGAGATGCCATCGTGGGGAAGGAGGCTCCGCTGCTGCGTCCGGCTCTGTCCCCAGCGCCACCATAGAGTAGGCACAAGATCCGGCCACGCTGGAAGGCTGGGCGTCTGCACCCCGGGCCCGGAAGCCCCTCCACCCTCGTCCAGTCTATAGGCCCCCGAGCGGCGGCTGGGCAGGCTCCGGGCTCTTCGGCGCGCTGTCGAGGGCGGCCTGGGGCTCGGGGAGCAACTCCGGGGCGCTGCCGCCTCCGCCGCCCAGGCTGCTGGCGCTGCCCGCGGTGGTGGTGCCGCCCCCGAGGCTGCTGAAGCTGAAACCGCCGCCAGCGCCGCAGCCGCTGCCGCCACCGCTGCTGGCGGCCGAAGCCTTGATGACCGTGGCTTGGTTCAGAGGCCCCTCAGTCCGCTCCGTGTCGCTGGGGGCCATGTCCAGGGACTCGGAGTCGCTGCTGTCGCTCTCGGCCTCGCCCTCTGAGCGGCTGAGGCTCCGCTCCTCCTGCTCACCGTCCGCAGCCCGCGCTGTGCCTGCCGGCTTCTCTCCCGCCTCCTTGTCTTTGTCCTTCTGCGCCTGGGCCTCCTTGGAGTGCCGCCACTTCATCCGCCGGTTCTGGAACCACACCTTCACCTGCGCCGCGCGGGGAGACAAGCAGGGACACCTAGATGAGACACGATCCGGCTGGCGTGCGGCCGGGAGCCACCCGAAAACACCACAGATGGTCCCAGCGGGCCGCCTCTGCCACGGGCCTGGCCCTGTGCTAGGAGCAGGGGCTGAGGGGCTCCCCAGGGAAACAAGGAGGTGGCCAGGGGTCCTCGCCAGGAACACACTAGGCCAGTTTCTCAAAACGGGGTCCTCCAGGCCTCACCCGAAATAACTTGGATGCTTGTTGGAGCGGTAGATTCTTGCACTTTGCCTGCAAATGTCAACTCTAAATCCATGCTTCCCTAACCTCGCTTGAGTCAGGACCCTCCCAAGAATCTGATTAAAATTATGGACCCGTGGCCCAGAAAAACGCACATATACCCAAGATCTTGCACACAATGTCGAGAGTTTGGTGAACCAAGGTTAAGAATTCCTGCTAAGCTGGCTCCTCTCCTACGGCCACTGTCCGAGGCAAGTCCCTACAAAAGTAATTCCTTTTAAGGAGGAACCACGGGAAGCACAGAGGGGCAGGCGGTTCAAAGAGTTAATCCCAGTGGGATGGGGCACCTCTGGACCGTCAGTGGAAGAGCATTTCCTTGGCACGTGTGTACGCAGAGGCTGATAAGGACCCAGCCCCAGGCCCTGCGCAGGATAAGCTAATCCGACCGCAGGCTCAGAAAATGCTGGAATTAAACCTGTGCGAAGTGGAGGGAGGGGGCCAGGATGGGGCGGAGAATCTATATTAATATACACCGTTCCCTGGGGACTCAATGCGTTCACACAAGTTCCAGCTTCCCTTTTAAAAATAACATCCGCAGCTGGTGGAAAGCGGCTGGGCCCTTCCCGCGTGTGCTGGGAGGGGAGCTGAGAAATGGAGGACAGGGAGACACGGAGACAGCAGTGCGCGCACCTAAAGGGGCTGCGGGAACGGGCCCACCTCTGGCTTCTGCCCTGCTCAGAACACGTGGCACCCTGGGAGCAAGGGCCGCCACGGCTGTGGGGAGTGTAACATCCGCAGCTGGTGGAAAGCGGCTGGGCCCTTCCCGCGTGTGCTGGGAGGGGAGCTGAGAAATGGAGGACAGGGAGACACGGAGACAGCAGTGCGCGCACCTAAAGGGGCTGCGGGAACGGGCCCGCCTCTGGCTTCTGCCCTGCTCAGAACACGTGGCGCCCTGGGAGCAAGGGCCGCCAGGGCTGTGGGGAGTGGCGGGACTGTGACTCTTGTAGTTTAAAAACTAAAAACAAAACAAAAAAAAACAAAAACAAAAAGCAAACAAACCAACCAATTGAATTTGAGAAAAGGAAAAAATTGATTTCAGAAATTGAATTCAGGTACACTAGATTTGCTATTTAAAAAAAAAAAAAATATCCAATATGCCAAACCCCAGAATCTGCTGAAATGTCCTTAAGACGTCTAAGAAACTCTTTTTTCTTTCTCTCTCTCTCTCTCACTGTCCCCACTGGAGATTTTTCTTGAGTTTTGCCGTTAGAAAATCGGGCCGTGGCCGCTCCAAGCGGACTCCCGGCCTGCAGGGGCAAAGTGATTCCGTTTGAAATGATGCTTTCACTTCCTCAGAGCTGGCGATTTCACAAGCCAGCAGCAGCAGGAGCGGAGGGGGGGGGCGGGGCGGGGGACAGGAGGAAAAAAAAAAAAACAATCTCTTGACTTTGGATTTTTATCTCTTCTGAAATAAACTGCCTCCTACAGCGAACTGCACTAGAGTCGAGTACATAATTATTATCTCCCTGGCCTATTTGCCTTCTCTCGTTTCTGTCGCCTGTTAGCCAAAATAAACAGGCCGTGCTTGTTGACACACATCTTTGGGGATGGGCCTTCCCTTCCTCTGTCTCCTCCTCTCTCCTGCCTCGAGTTGGGAAGTCCACAAGGTCTCTGAAATTCCAGACCTTGTGTTTCCATCAAAACAGGAGAGTCGGTCCGGGTAGAGGGGGCCTGGGCCTGGGGTGCCCGGGGCTGTTTGGATCTTGAGCTGGCTTACCTGTGCATCCGTGAGGCCCAGCATCGCGGCCAGCTGCTTTCGGTCTGGCTTGGTCACATACTTCTGAATCTCAAACCTTTTTTCCAGGCCTTTCCTCTGCAGGTTAGAGAAGACCGCCCGAGACCAGGAGCGCTTCCTCTTGTAGGTCTGCGGCATGGTGTCCTTGGTGAGCACAGCATAGGGGCCTGACAGCGGGCAGCAAGGGAGAGACAGAGCGAGTCAGTGCCCAGCCAGCAGCAGCAGGGCTGGGGGCTCATCGTGCTGCTGAAACCTGTTTGCGTCAACAGTCGCCCCTACCTGCGTTAGGAAGCCCTCCTCCAGGGAGTCATTTTACAGTTTTTAAGAAGGTCGTGGGAAGGCCTAAAGTGAGTATATACTGAGTGAAGCGGCCCAGCGGCTGGTCCGTTAATTCCAAAGGAAAAACGGAAACCAAATGCTTGGGCTTCAGGCATGCGAATAGTCAGCGAAAATGTCCCTCCAGCCTGAAGGATCTAGAGACGACAGCCCCGATCCTCAGTCGTGTGTGCGTGCATACTCTTCTGTACAGATGCCACCTCCTGGGGCAAAAGGGCTTGAGGTCATTTCGAAACGTGTGTAAGATAACACGCGGCATCTCTTGCTGCTGCATTTTCAAACTCCCCTCTCTGGCGAAGAGATTGGGGGAAGCGCCCGCCTCGCCCCCATCTCGCCCGCCCCTGCACACGCTCTTGGTTCCCCAGGCCCCCCACTCCTGCCCTCTGGAGTCAGCTGAAGGGTGAGCCAGCTCACAAAGGAATCTTTCGGTTTCTCTCTCCCTACGTGATGGCCTCTGCACGCCCTCCGAGCTGGCTACACCGCTGGCGCCACGTGAGGCGTCAGTCCTGAGTTTTCTGTCGGTGGATCTGCCCTTTCCATACCTGGAAACGTGTCTTGAAACTGATGCTGAACAGAATTTCTCGGGTTGGAGCTTAAGGGACTGAGGATAGCAGAAGCCTCGTTAATGGGATCGAGAGACGCGAAGAACTGGCCGGCGGAGGGCTGCAGGCCCGAGAGGTGCAGCCCCGCCGGCCGCGCGCCCGTCAGCAGGGACGTCAGATCTGGGGACCAGGGAAAAGAAGAGTTGGTTAGACCTCAAGCAAACCCACACGCTGCCTGCTGATTTGTTCCTCCCCTCCCCCTCCCGCCTTCGATGACCGAAGTCGAGAGAGGCCGGAGTCTCCACCCTGAAAACCCCTCTCTCCAGGCTGCGGCCAAGGGGCGAGACAGGAACTGTCTGTCCCGTGAGTGTCCCATGTCCACGCTGTTATAGCAAGGAAGGGCTTTACATGAAATGGCCAAAATGAGGTCACTCTCAGATGCCTTCCAAGAAGGCCACAGACCTAAGGCCTTCCGAAGGAGCCCCCTAGTCCCTCCTCTTGGGGGCTGAGAGTCGATTTTGTTCCACTACATTCCTTGGGTGGAATTTCACTAGAAATCAGATTAACGGAAGGGAAAGTGTTCCCCAAAAGGGCTTTCCCTGTCAAATAATATAGTTTTCTCTCTAGAAATGTGATTAAAGACAAGGCAAGTGGTAGTCATGTTAGCAAATGTTTACGCCAACCATTTTTATGAATGTTGATTCTGTGAGGTGCGTTTTTAAAGCATTCCTGGACAGGGTGTTTTTTACACAGAGCAGGTGAGTTTTAAACCCAGTGTTTCACGGTCTTCTCACAATTCATTTTCTTCTCCTTCCTCTTACCGAGGTGTCCTTAATCGTAAAATCACTCGAAGGCACCCCAAGCCGGCCCAGGGACCAGTCAAGGCCCTGGTCAGAGGCCTGCGGCCTCTCGCCCAAGACCTACCTCTCAGAGTGTTGCCTTCCTTGACTTTTGGGTCAAATTCTGCAGACAAAATGCGATCGATTCCAAATTTGAGGTCCTTACTGGAGGGGGCCGGGGCCGAGCCGCTATGATGGGGGTTCGCGACCACCCGGGCCGGGAAGTGGTGCAGGTAAGAACCGTGGCTCAGTCACCCCGGCTGCTGCTGCTGCTGCTGCTGCTGCTGCTGTGGGTGATGGTGGTGGTAGGCGGCCGAGAGCGGAGACAGCCGCTGCGGGAAGCCAGCCGGGACTTCGGAGGGCGCCACCACCGGGGTGGGGCGAAGCGGGGATCTGG